AACACATCTCAGGGAGCCATTCACCCATTAYCCTTGGAGCAATGACTTGTTGCTTGCTGCATCCCTTGCTGCAACAGGCTCCGGCCAAAACAGCACTGTAAACCATACTGATGAATGCTTATATAAAGAAACCGCACAATTTCTGCTAAATCCTCCCAATWTAGGCAGTCCGGCCAGGGCTCTGCTCACGTGGCTTTCATGTCGGGACCTGCCGTGTGTGAAACTACACTGCTTACCTGCAGGAATGAGAGAGGAAGGCTTCTCCTCTCACCTGGGCAGGCCATCCCGGAGGCACCAGCACGGAGGAGGTATTTCAAGATCTGGAAGGCCGCTCACATGGGCTTGGACAGCGGTGCCCCTGGGCAGGCAAGGAAAGAAGCTGGAAATGCCTGGATCTGCAAACACTCAGCATTTCCTCTCCCTCAGCACCACTTGGTTTTCCTCAGGGCTAAAAGAAGTTGGGGGGAAGATTGCTCCAAACTTGGGACTCTTTTTTTTTTTTTTAAATTTCTTTTCCTCCTCCAGACATGGGGCCTGGGGGCAGTGAGGACGCAGCACCCTAAACACCCCCCAAGTCCTCAGAGAGGGGCTTCCCTCYCCATACCAGCCTGCCCCACGGAGCAGCTTCCACCCTTCTCGCTCTGCCCGTGCCCACCAGGGCGGCCGCCTCTCCCCTCCTCCCGCCCCTCCATGGCGCCTTCCAGAACATTCCCACCCGCTCAGCAGCCTCCAGGCAGGAGTGCTGAGGYGCCATGAGGAGCCAGGGCAGCCCCCACATGGATAGGCCAATATTTTACCTTAAGGACCCTTTCCAGGAAGCGCTGTAGCACTCCATGGATTCCCCCTCCTCCAAGCACACATTTCAATTGCTCTCAAACACGTAATTCAATTATCACGAGTTCAATTTTACTGCTTAAAATGGTAGTTAGGTTTAATGCTTTTCAATACATCTTTGTTATTTGAAATCAATTCATAAAACTCTTTACATGTATTATTTAAATTAACTTTAATTCGAAGCCTTAGCAGGATCAATATTTAGCAGGTCCCCGCAATCTATCCAAGTCTGTTTACGTAGGGAAAATGCTCCTTCCAGTGGTGCATTTGAGGCAGAAATGGATATAATAAATTTCAGGAATTTTAAGAACCCAAGAGAACCAGGGTTTGGAGGTGGACTAAGGAACCTGGAAGTCTTGAAGCACTCCACTGGATTACATGAGTGCTATGTAACACCACCTTTTTAAGGAAATTTCTTCAGCTGAGTGACATCAGTGATTTCCTGAAAACTCCTTCCTCCTCCAGCCAGGTTAGCAGAACCAGGTTGGGGGTGTAATCTTCAGTGCACTCAAAATGGACAGGCAAGTGTAAAACCTTTGGTAATTTCTTATTTTCCTTTCACTTTTCCCTTCTATTGTGTTTATATGACAGCACTGTTGATGACCAATGATTTTCTCAAAGGTGTTTTTGGTAACCCTATAATTAGTGCACTGTGCCAGACTTGATCATGTACAAGCTCAGCTTGTTCTGATTAAAATAAATTCTTTTCATTTGTAATGAAAGGAATATGAATAGTATTCAGTCATGGAAAGTACCACTTCATCGTCCTTAGACTCCAAGAAAATTGCAGTCTTCACCTAGTGTTTAGATGTAGCTTATAATACAAAATATTTTAAGATTCTTTTAAGACTCTTTCAGGATATTAAGTGACTGATCAATTTTTATTATGGAACACAAGATCAAACAATGAATTCACTGTAGCAAATTATGGAGAATACAAGCAGAACAATCATCTAAACACAAATTTTCATTTTTCTAATTTATTTGTCGGCAGAGGTGTTTGTTAACCGGAATTATCAGCTGTAAATAATGTTGTCAAACCATTTTATTGCTATCTTCATATTTCTAGTCTTGCAATTTCTATGTACCCTTTTGAAAGGAGTCAAACAAGTAGTGAAACATTCTGTAGTTAATTCTGTAGTAACAAATGACTTACCAGTCATATGTGGATATGAAATATGTGGATATGACATATGTGGATATTTCTATAGTTCAAGGCATCGAGTGACCACAAAGTCTTTGTCAAGCACATCTTCAGTGTTTTTGTTACTTGAAACAAAATGACACTTCTGCAGCAATATACACAATTTCCATCATTTTGTGTAAGTAAATAAAAACTTGCTACAATAACAGGGATCTCTATGAAGGCTCTCAGATGAGGTTGTAAATCAGCCCAACTGCCTCCTAGCTGAACAGCTTTCTCAGCAACTTATTTAGGRGAGATTGTGCCCTGAAGTAGCTCAGTCTTCAACTTTGCCATGGGACTTCTACTTAGATACTGCCTTTCAACCGTCAGCAGCACTCCTAGCTTCTGTGTAACCCAGCCTCTCTTCTAACACAAGGAAAACCTGACAGAATCTGGCAGATTTATGGAGCATGGGGACTTACTTATACAACTTACCAGTTGCTAGTAACTGTTCCTGCCTTTACTTCTAATTCAGTTCCATGGCTAAATTAAATGTGTTAACCTAAACCACCTGTGCAGGAGGCACGACACTCACTATGAAAGTTGTGGTTATTCTGAACTTTGAAATGGGTAACTCATCCATCACATTAAGAGAACTTCTGTGTTTCATTAATTTGTCGTGATAGTGGAGACAGCTGAATCAATCATGCTTTTGCAGAGCAACACTAAGCAAAAATAAGTACAGTATATTTTCAGTGCAGAAATTTCAGTAACTGAGCTTGAAGAAAGATTTATGTGATTTTATCTTTGTTTTCCCATATTCTGAAGAATATTTTYAAATTTTGAAGCAAGCCTCACATAGAGGTAGGTATCTGTTTTGTTAAGATACCAGTAGTAGTAACTGGAAGCCACTATGCTTCCAGTTGTTGTTGGAACAGTCTTGTTTCCAATTTTGTGTTTATCTGCAATTTTGGGTGTTGTTTTTGTTTTGCTTTGTTTTTGGCCAGATAGATAGCTTGGAACTATATACTTTCAATCTATAGTTTTTGTCTTTTTTTTTTTTTTCCAAGTTTGAAATATTTTTACAAGTATTACATTGCTTCAATGCTGAATAGTAGATAATAAGTCCATAATACATTCCTAACACTGGTACTTTAACATGCATGTGAAACTAATCAAAATAGCTTAAATTATTCTGTCAAGRCTAAATATTTCAAAACTATTTAATCTTTCAACATAATCAAAACAAAGCAGTAAATTCGACTAGTTTGTTTTCAATTTTCTGCCAATTAAAAAAAAATGCCTACAAATATATTGCAGAACTTCTCAGTTGCACTGAAAGTTTGTTTCCTGATCGGAGAAAAAAAAATGTGTTGACTAGAGCTCATCAAGGATGGGATTATCAGAAGGAAATATGGGGGGATTATCAGAAGGAAATATGGGAGAATTATTTGGAAAAGCTTACTAAGAAGTCATTGATTCTCCCTAAACAGTGAGAAAGTTATTTCAAGCACAGAAAAGGCAAGTGGACATCGCAGCACGAAGTGAAGCACATTGTTGCCAATACACGATTTTTTCCAGGAACAAAAACATGTGAATTTTGCAGGTCACGTTAGCATAGCAGCAGGTAACCAACCATGCCTTTGCTTCAGCTACCTACAGCTTTAGGGAATTCAGAGTTTTACAATTCCCAAATGCCAAGAGCTCTTTATCTTAGTGCCACATTAACTCAGTTTTGATCTGTCATATATTTGAGTCTAGCTGACAACACTCATCTGGCCATAAAATTAATCAATCGCCTCTGATTCTATTGAAGTTATGCTAAAATATGCAACATGCCGTTGCAAAGCCTCTGCTGCGCGCCTGCCTTTGAGACAGGCTGCAGGAACTCACCTTCACAGCAGCACAAAAATGTCCATACCTCTCCCCCTCCTGCTGTCCTGGAAGCTGCTGTGCCCTGAGAAGAGAGGCCACAGCCATCCAGTCTGCTCTAAGGCTGCCACCCTGGAGAAGACCTGCTCGGACTCCTCTCTCAGATGCTGACCTTATTCTAGCAGGTTCATTTAGGACGTGTCATTCAGTCCCACCTTTAAAAGAAAACGRCAAACAAGTGACTAAGATCCCATTTACAGTATTATGGGATGGGGGAAAATCTGCCATACCAGGCAAATGAAGGGCCTGATGTCACTTTTTCCATTAATAAAGTCATGTTTTCAATGAACCAGAAATGATTTGGAAATACAGATGGGGACACAGAAATAATGAAGACCAGAAATGTGGCACCAGGTTGTTGAAGACTTAGGAGGCTGTTCAAGACCTGGTCAAACACATGTTAAATTCATATATTTTTGAGCAGAATCTAAGATATTTGTAAAGTTCTGTATACTGCACTTCMTTTGTGCTATCTTTTGCAACAGAAGATGCCCCAAAACATGGTCATTGAACACTTTCAGACATCCTCAATTTATAAAATATTCTCCTACTTTCTGAAGTTAGTATTAAATCCTTTAATATTATGAAAGAGCAAGGTTATGTGAGATTGATTATTCCATTTTTATCACTTGTTTCTGTTCATTTAGCAGTTTTTTAGAAGTTGGTACTCAAAAGTAGGTAAAAAATAGCAGTCTCAGTGTGGCTTATGCTTCCGGTCCCTGTGTCTATCTTCTTTTTCATTGAAATTCAAACAAACAGAGCTTTTATTTGATAAGATACTTACCAAATAAAATAATACCAAAAGGAAAGGAAAAAAAATCCTTTCAATTTCAACAGAGGGGTGTGAACTTAACATTATTTTCCTCTCTGCTTTGAAAAAGGAGAGCAGAATTTCAATCTAACAAGCTTTATTTTTTGTGGTATAAAAATAAAGTTTTCAAACCCCCTTTTGTTCACAGCTAATACATCATATTTGTTTAAATATCTAGATGTATAAATAATAAATATTTTGTAAACTTTACTCCAAAGAAAGTGGTATTGAAGGGAACACTTCTTTGAAGATGGATATCTTCCSCCATGGTCTCCTCATCCCACATCTTCTTCAGATCTTACTGAACACTTTCCTCATTCCCCAGGGGCACTTTCACTGCCTTGAAGATTCCAGCTAAAGTAAATAGAGATATTTAAATGTTTTACATGCATTTTTTTGGGAAAGAACTAAATTAAGACTGTATGTCTTTTGTTTTTCCAGACTTTCATGGCTTTGAAGTTCAACTCACTGAAGAACAATTCATATTTTATAGCTTGAGTGAGCATCCTTTTTCTTATACTTGGGCTTTAGTTCTCAAGAAAGTAGAAGAACTGAATGTTGTGAACAGTGCATTACATGTATGTGTTGCATGTGAAAAACACCCAAAGGAAAGGTACTCAAGCCTGACTSGGTAGTTAGGAGACTTCCATTTTGGAAAGTTCACCTGGAAACATCTGAAAGTTGTTCGGGCCTTTTGAAATTTTAACCCATTTGAAATATTGCACATTTGATACCTAARAAGCTTTATGGAAATTTTGTCTTTCTGGGGAGCTAGTGACTGTATTTATCCACAGAACATGGACTCTAATAACCATAACTGCATTAAATAATTAACATACTTCCGTCACAGCAGTGAAGAGTTGATCCACATAATAATAATAATAATAATAAATTCTTCCTTTCTTTTTTATTTAATAATTTTTGTGACATTATCAGCAGTGTGAAAATATGGAGAAGGAAGGATGTGATGAGAAGAGAACTCCAGGAACTAGGTTCCAATCATGAAGTTCTTGATTCTTGCAAGTGGGGCAGATGCCTGCACAAAGACCCATTTAARCTAATGGGATTCTCTCTTGGTCCATGAACCTGCATTTACACCTCTGCAGTGCTGTGAACCTGCAGTATCACAGGACCAGAGTCTGACATTTCCCCTGCAGTCAGGTTGCTCTGTGATGCTAACGTTTCCTAGTCACTGCTACCTAGGGCTCGTTTGAACAAACTCCTAGAAAAAGATACTCTCTCCAACTACCCACCCTCAATGTCAAGTGTTTTAGAGCATGTGTGCAAATAACATCAAGCTGAACTTTATTATCTACTGAATTAGAATAATTAAAAAGAACAAGAAAAAAAAAGTATTAAAATGCCAGTTTAGGAAAGCTTTCCAAAATAGTATTTATATGAAGGTGCAGTAGTGTAACATTACTAATTAGTATAAAATACTGAGTACAATAATCCATTATGTTAATTTGTTCTACCAATTGCTGGCAAAAATCACAGAGATCCTGTCTGTGGAGCAGTGGACACTTCCTTGTAGTTGTTTTGAGTTTTGTTCTAACCTTCWATGTATTTATTCTTGCAATGACAAGAACATGTTTTTTACATCTGCACTTATCTTAGGGAAGTTCACACAAAAGAACAAGGTGTCTGGGAACTCAGCAGAGTTGTGCTTTGACAAACGACCACACTGACCACGTTGACAAACASTGACTCTGCTGACGAATGGCCAAACCGCAGACGTTCATGTTGTGGACAGTTCTGATTTGAGTCCCCACCACCCGCTTGTTGCTGCTCTTTTCCTGCAAGATGCCGTTGCCACTGCTCTGCTAGTAGGGAGCTTGTTTTTGTGAACTCTCCCTCATCTACTTCAACTCCACCTGTGCTGACCTTGCCCTGCTCCCTCCCCCAGTGGCAGATACTACTGGTGCTGTCTGCTCCCCTAAGGCAGAAACTCAGAACCGGGGACCGTGCGCTGCTGTTGCAAAGCAGTAACCATTTGCACACTCTTTTATTTCCAGGTAACCATTGATGATGATGTAGTAAATCAACCATTGATTGATGGTGATGTAGTAAATATTATCTTACTAATTTCTGAAAGCATTTGCTGGCAGTTGCCACAGGGATAGAAACCTGTCAGCGTTACACGTGCTGAGAACATAGCACAGCATTTGGCTGCCTCTGTCTTGRGTATGTAGTCATTTCATACTTGGGTATGTAGTTGTATTTCAYGAGGACGGTAGGTGTGGTCTTTCCAAAGGGAAACGCAGGGCCCAGGTGACYCCTAAAGGAAAAGAGATCTGTGCGAGTGAGGTTTCCACATAGCCTGTGGAARGAGACTGATGACTTACTTACAAAACAGGCATTGGATCAGTTGAGGTCCGGTTCGGAAATGGGATCAACAATGAGCCTTCACCAATGTTTTGATCAGAGAAGAGAGAATTTTCTAATAGCCAAAACTCGTCTCTTCATCACACCACCCCATCTCATGCATTTATGGAGTACAGTAGAGCAAATCTCGCCTCCTTTGCTGACAGGTCCTTTGAGGCACGAGATGAACATCACCCAGTGCATGAGGTACCTGAAAGGGGAGAGGCTGTCGTGGTGGGTGCATGTGCTGTGCCGTGGCAGGACAGCGCTTCCCGCCTGCCCTGGCCTGGGGGCAGCAGACACATCATCCATATAAACCACGGCAAAAGCGTCCATGGGCAAGGAGCGCTTTACTCTGAAAACAATGATGTGAATGTCTTTGTGCAGCTAGGGCTTTGCCCAAGAACGGTAGTGTAGCTAACGCTGGTCTCAAGGCAAATTCACGGAAATCTTGGCTAGCTTTCCCCATGGCTGCTTTGGGATAAAGCAAATGGTGCAGGGAAGATCCCTTTGATATTCATTTGTGCATTCATGCAAGCAGCAAATGAAAGCCAGCTGTGTCATGGATTTTCCGTAGTTTAAGTTTAGTCTTGGAATTTTAGGGCTTGGAGGAGGGGGTTTAATGTCTTCTTTAAAATTACAAATTTGCTTTGATAAATTGTATTTTCATATTAAAGAAAATGATGGTTTGGATATAAATGTTGCCTTGCAGGTTTCTAAGAGGTAGGAAAAAAAAAAAGACCTAAGGAAGAACACTTTGTTTACTGTCGTTTATGTTGTACTTAGCTTTACATCTGGAGCTACGTTAGGATGTTCCTCTGTTAGGTGGTTACTCTCATTTTGGTGTTAATAGAAGTTTTGTCCAGTTCAGCTGCACCTTTTGTAGCTTAACCGTTCACAGTAACTGCAGTTAAATTAAAGACAGGAATTCTTACATGTAGGAGGGGAAAATGAGTCAGGGAGGTAAGGAGAAAGGAGTATTATTCATATAGCTACTTTGATATTTAATTGTACAGCTGGTGTTGCAGTGATATTTTTKCTGTGTACATGAGGTGCAAGAGAGAAATCATTGCTGTCAGGGGCTGGGGAGAGTGAGTGATGCTGTGGATGAGATGTGTTCATGAGAGAGAAGCCCACTTAATGCTGGTCCTGCTGGCTTTGGTCCATGTTAATTCCCTGGAGCGCTGGCTTTTCCTTCATGCTCCTTAGTGCAAGGCCAACCATTCCTGAGGAGCTGCATCTCCCGCCTTCCTGCTCAGTGCCCCGTTCTCACCTCACTCATTGCTCCCCTTTCCCTCTCTGGGCTGCTCCAGCCTCCTGCCTATGGTATTTATCCTGCTTGTGTTTCCATGAGCATAGGTGACTCCTGTCCTTTACGAATGGCATACGGGCAGCATGGAGACTAAAATTTTTCTTTCCCATTGCTTATGTATGTCTTCACTAAGACTTTCTGACAATGCTTCAGAACAAATTGTAATGGTATAGATCATTTAAAATCTTGAAAACAAAGCATGTCAGAAATTAGGTCAATCTAAACAGTCTTTCTGTGGGAATAACTCTCCTCACCCCAAAGCAATATTCAGCCTTCCTTTTATTTATTGATTTCTTTCCTTCCATCATTACTTTGCCTGTCATAAGGTCCTGTTATTCTTCTACTGCGTTTTGACCTAATTTAGGACCTTATTTTGAGAGTCTGAATATAGGTAACTGCATATATAAGTGTATGGACACTACATCTGCCATATGATGTCATGGAGCTGTGTTTATGCCTAAAACTGCTTATTTTGATGTGTTATTGATTGCATTGCATCAAAATAAGTCTTGCTTTGCTCCTTGCAAACTGTGTCAGTGTTGGGGGCTTGCAACATTGCAGTTATTTCAGGGCAGTGTGGATTTCCCCAYGTTCAAAGACTTATGGGATCAAGGGGCAAGGATCCTTGTCACTGGATAACGAAACACCATGCACGTCTTAGGTAGGTATGAATAAAAAATGAGGCCTCCATGACTTTTTCTGAAGCAATTTGTGACTGCCCTGTAGCTGTAGTCATGGGCATCTTCTTGGATTCTTTATGGTGACAGAATTACTCATCTCTTCAGTTCTCTAACCTCTGTGATACGCAAGGAGACATTAGAAACATACAAGTGCATTTCTAAGCATACATACTGTATCGTTACTCTGAAACTGATTTCACAGAGCATCCATAATGTGCGATATCACAAATGCTCTTGATACAGAGTGTTAGAAGAAAAATAAGCTTTTGCAGTGACTTTAATTTGAGAAGAAGTGGGAGYTACGAGAATAAAAAAGTAATAAGAAAACAAGAGGCCACACTTAGAGACTGCAGATATATTAGCCTTATGAAAGGCTGAATGGAGAATGTAGTCTTTCCTTCTCTTGTAAAGGAATAATCTGTAAACAGCTTTTAAACCATTAAAGATCATCAAATGCACTCAGAGAAGACAGTAGAAAAATATTTTTTTTATTTAACAAATTAGCTTCTTTTTATTTAAAGAAGCTCTAGGAAAGCTGTGATAGCAAGCCATTTAGCAAAGGAGGGTTATGATACTTCCAAACAGTTCTTGAACCAACATCCTCTGAGCATAAAGAAATGAAGCCCTGTGTACAAGAATATGTGGCTCCTGTTGTTTCATTTGTACCCTGCTCAGGTCTCAAATCTATTAACACAGCTCCAGGAAATCTTRAATTTCAAATGTCTGACTGCACTAAGCTTCGCACTTGACTAATCAAGTCAAACATTGTCTGCTAATCAGATTTACAGGTGAGAACCTGTCAGCATGTGGGCACAGGCCATGTAAACATGCAAAGAGATGCAGATAGCTGCCTGGCAGTATCTGAAATACAACCTGACCAAGAGAGCTGAGTGCTGGCTTCCTAGGCTTCCAGTACAGGGATGATACAAGAAATGAGAGAATTATGCACAGMTTCTTCCAAGTACTAGGCTTTACATATAGAACCTATACTTTAAAATGTTATGCCTTCTTCAGGTAGTCCATATTCTTAGGCAACCTTTGCTTTCAARTAGCATGGCCAAAAGCAGAGGTGAAAACAAGGAATTTAAGGGTAAAAGAGCAGGAGATTATGATCTCCTTAGGGATCAGAAGTGGGGAAGCTGTGAAAGGAGGAGGACTCTGCAATAAATTTCCTCTGTGTTATTTACACACACACACATATTAACTGCACAGTTACTGAGTGAGATTTGGGGGTTTTACAGGTAACCAAGAAAATGGTATGTGTTACAGTGCGCTAACTACTTTCCATCTAGAGCCTTTGGACTCTTAATCAGAGTTTGGCCTAGTGGTAATGTAAGCATACAAAAAATATAGTGCTGTAAAAGCCCTTGAGAGTAAATCAACATTTATTTAGCCTAAAATACATACAGAGGCATCCATAAATGGTAGGTAGCACATTACATCAATTCAGGCTCCATGTATAGTTGCCCTTGACACTGAGTGTACGTTGCTGTACCTTAGTAAGCATCTCCCTTGCAGTTTGGGTGGACACTGTTGCCTTCCTCCTCCTCCATTATAATTCAATGCTTTTAAAAGTTGGTTTGATTTTGCATTTTTTCTGCAATCATACAAATTTTTGCACAGATTCTCCTTTTCATTTCTGAAAAGAGAATTCACTAATGATGGATTCCCCAAAGCTACAATTTTCCTCTTGAGACTGCAAACACAAAAACACAAAAGTCATTCCCAAAAGATGTGTTGCCAGTCTCGAGCCTTTTCTACATATTCAGAGGCGGATCACGGAGATAGAAAAGAAGAAGTACAAAGAGCATTGSAAGTTAATTTAAAATCTAAAATATCTAATAACTGAACTAATTTCTGACAGTGAATAAAATAATCCTTCTGGTTTCATTAGTTTATTAACAGCTGAATCCTGCAATTTTTAACTGCACAGACTGAAAGAAAACACTAAACCAACGGAAGGCAAAATCACRCATGAATAGGACTTTGACTAATGTCACCAACTATCATGTTATCATCACCTTGGAGTCCTTCACTGGTTTACAATAAAATATCCTTCCCTTCAATCTGTAGCTTCTGGGACTATATAGTCAACTTTCTTTTTAGAAGTAGACTTTTTTGAGCCTAAAGTTGTGGAAAGAACTTGAAAACAAAATACCTCCTTTACTGGTCACTCATCCCAAATTATTTATTAATCTAATAATTTGTAGTGCAACCTTAAAACTTCTTGTACCCCAAATCAATGCTTCTACAGTTGTTTTGTTTGACACTT